GAGGTTCCTTTCGTCGTCAGGAGATATCACAAAGTGCAGCTACCAGGGTGCCGCAGCGCTGCAATCTACCCTTTCAAGTGGCCAGGTGGTTACCCTGGAGCTCAAGGAAGCGGTATACCACCCACAGGCGCCCGTCAATCTGATATCGGCGGGCAAGCTACTCGATGAAGGTATCTTCTGGGACCAGGAGAGCCACAACCTGGTCCTTAGAGGTACTAAGCAGGTGGTGTGTGAGTTGACCAGGAATAACAACGTATACCAGATGAATACGACGCCCGGCGCCGATTTCAGCAAAGTATCCCTGGCGAAGACTCCCATCAAGGCCGTGATGGCATCTATCAACTACCGGGTAATGCATCGCCGCCTAATGCACGCCAACAAGGACGATATTTACAAGGCTTGTACGCAGGCGGGTATTAAGCTCGTCGGCAATGACTTTTTCTGCGAGCCCTGCGTGATGGCAAAGATAACAGATCAACTAGGCTCATCGACCCCTTCGCAGACCAATAACCCGTTCGACTTCATCCGTATCGACGTCGTCACCCACAAGAACCCTGGATATCTGGGTTACAAGTACTCTATCCAATACGTAGATATGTGGAGTGGCTACAAGTGGATTAACTTCACAGTGGAGAAAAAGCAGGTATTCGATAAGGTCAAGGATTTCGAGACGAAGATCGCGCGCCAAACCGGGCATAAGATCAGCATCATCGGCCTTGACGGCGGTACGGAATTTGCCCAGGGCTCTGGGACCTTTGACAACAGCCGCATGGCCGCCTGGGCCGACCAGGAGGGCATCACCATCCTCAAGACCGTGCCTCACTCACCGTGGATGAATGGAAAGGTGGAGAGGGCCGCGAGGACTACGCTTAACCGCACCAGGGCTATCATGCTGGCCTACAAGGTGCCAGAGAAGCTGTTCCCATTTGTCATGCAGTCTGTGGTTTACGTGGGTAACCTACTGCCCTCGAGGGTCAACGAGGGAGATATCAGTGCTCACGAGAAGTATACCACAAGGCTCAACATGCCCGAGGGCGAGCGGAAGCCGTATATTCGGCACCTACGCTCGTACTTTTGCGACGCGTATTACTACGTCAAGCCGGCCTACCGGGCCAATTCGGATAAGTTCACCGCCAGGGCGGAGAAAGGAAAGCTTATCGGCTACGCAGATATACACGGCAAAATATACTGGGTCTGGAACCCAGTCACTGACAAAGTCGTGAAGGTCAACGCCGTGAAGTTCAACGAAGCGATTCTTACAGGCCTGACGACGATGAGTA